GCTAGAATCCGGGTTTCGATACCCGTGGTGGGTAGAGAACAGATAGCCCCATGTGTTGCTTTGTGCTTAATTACAAACAAACAAGCAGTAAACAAAATATTCGGATGGGGGTAGGACCATTGAGGGATCATAGAAGAAGGCTCGTATCTGATGATTATGAGATGGCTGGGTTATTAAATTTTGTTTTTTCTTCGGTTTTTACTAACAAAGATTTATGCAGTATTCCACATTTTGAGCAGTTGATAGATGGAAACAAGATCGAAAAAGATGACCACATTAATTCTGAGCTGGCTAAGAAAAAATTGGAAAATTTAAAGAATGCCCGACTGAGGTCTAGAACTTTCTAGACGCTTTGATGTAACAATACTCACTCAAAGCAACGAGAAAAATTCAGAAGGTTCGAATAACCTGATGTCAATCCACAACAATTGAACTGCAAAACAAATTATTAGTAAACTGTCACGTAAGCAAACCTGCGATATATTATTGCTTATAAAAAGTTTAAATTTAACTGTTGATATTTAGTCAATTACTGTATTTACTCTTATAAAAACAATCCATTATTTTATCTCTTCGTTACTATCTGTGATAATGGACCTATAGACCTAAAGCTATAGAATTATGATAAAAGCTATTAAAAGCCCTGAGGAAGCATTTTTAACTATGTGTATAAGCTGGTTTATTTCAATCTCTGTACTTTTTCACTCTTAGAAGAACACTAGACAACCCGTGACCCGTTGGGTCACCCACTATTCAGAGGTTATGAAGAATTCAAGCTAATTTCAATATTGCACCGAAATGAAGGTTTATTTTGAGATAATTTAATTAAATATTTCAATCCATTCATGTTATTCATAATTCAAGAAAAGATATTTGATTGTTGATCGGGAGTAAGAGTAAAAACCATTTCATTTTTCAAAAAAGTAAAGTCAAAGTTTTCAGGTATTGTGATGAATTAGTTCACTATGTTGTCGTGTTTCCTCTTAAACCTTCTACAAATAAGAAACAGTGACACTTTATTTTTTCTTTGAATTACCTACCATAACCAAGGCACAGTATTGAGAAATTCTTCAAAATCCTGTTTTGTCATCTCACGCCTTTTAATGAAGATGGGAACATTGACAAGGAAATATATTTGAACGAAGAAGTTTCGTAAAGAGCGCGAATGGTAGTGTGATGTAAAATTACTCATGTGCTAGAAATTTTCATAAAAGTGACCCAAAAAACGGCGCTAACTCGGTA